GTGGACATGGCACTCCATACCGAATTCCAAACCCTTTCATTGCCAGCACGAAAGGAAGGGGGGGGGGGGGGGGGGGGGGGGGGGGGGGGGGGGACTCACCTGTCACCTCGAGGAATTCCATCTCATCCTTTCATCCTTTGACTCTTCTACGCTTCGAGGTCTCTTTTACCTCTAGTCAAGTACGTCTCGCGTCCCTCGCTGGTGTTCTCATCCGCAGGATTTGAAGGAATGCTGCCACATGATACGAAAGTCTCACTTGCGAACTCCGATTTATTTCATTCCAGACCTTCTATTGGACCCGGTCTGCACAACAATGTCGATCCAACGTTGTAACAGCATTGAAGTTTCAACATCCACCGTGTCGAGTCGACGTCGAACGACATTCATCGTCGCGTCGAATCGACATTGCCTCGATGTTGAAACGAGACAGGTCTCATGTCACAACAAACATTGCGCATGCGTCGATAAAATGTCGCATGTGGAAGAATGAGCATGCGCCACTTGATCACTGAAGCATTCCGAGAAATAGCAGCTTGATCAGGTTTCAGCTTTTTTTTAAACACAGGTACTAATCTTAGGCAGAGAGGTCTCATGGAGTGAGCAACTCGTGAACTTTCTTCTCCCTTCCCAGGGCTAGAATCATCCTGGGTCTCATCGGGTTGGGTTGGGTTCAACAAGTCCAGGAATAAAAATACCTTCCCCGGTGTTGGCTGTGAATAAAATACCAAGTACAGTTCCAAAAGTACTGGGGACGCGTGCGGGTTGCATGCATGAGGTAATTCCCTGTTCGTCGCCATCTCACGTCGGGGTCAAGAAACCTTCTTTGTTCGAATGTCTCAAGAGATGTCTGGCCTGACGTATGTTCATATAATGCTGACCGGACAATGTCCTCGCAATCTCAATATTTTCAAAATCTCTTCAAAGTCGACTATGGATCATCGTCGACGACATCTCAACGTTGAGTCGATATTGTTTTGCAGACCGAGGAGAGACTTCAAATGAAGTCAGAAGTTATAGGAAACGTGATTCCTTAATCAGAACAAACTCGGTAACAGACAAATGAACCATTCCAGACTCTTCTAACAATGAAAATACATGATGAGGGACGATTTTTTTTCCTTCTTTCAAAATTCATAAATTTTCTTCGACAAGAAAATTTATTAGATGTCGATACTTCGATGAAATGCTGGAGTTTGCGATGGGAATTACGTCCGTCTTCAGCTTATCTACTGGACAGCTGAGCAACCGGGGAAATTCGAGAGGGAAAACCACGCGCCAGGATATTTGAATGATAGTATTCTTATTGTCTATTATCTGGTCTCGATGGAGTGGGAGAGGCTTTTTTCGTTGAAAGTGAAAAAATGGGTTTCCAAAATAAATAAGAGCGATGGAGGCCGTTAAGGGCGAGAGCGTCCGCCGGTTTTCATCCCGAGCCCCAAGTCCGTCTGGCTCCGACGCTTCTCTGTCGTGCATTCCATTCGTCTTCTCATTCATTTTGCTCAAAAAAAGGAAAAAGGGGCCTGGGTTATTCTCGCCTCACGATTCAATACACCGCTGCTCTTTTTTTTTGGAATGCCACATCACGCCAGTAAGTTTACGATGTGCATCAGGCAACATAGACGATATTCCAGTCCTTCGTAATGTCAGCTCCTTTCATTCTGAGACTTTGGGAAACTCGATTCCTAAAAGGTAGTTTTTCGAGAATTCCTGACCGTTTCGCGCTTGGCATTTCTTGCGTTTGACGCGTGTGATTACATGATGCATGTGACGTGCGAGTGTGCACGCATCCACATGCCTTCGAGCGCAAGGGAACACGCATGTTCACGCATGCATTCGTACGTAAAGTGGAAACGAAAGACTCGGCGTTTCGAATTGGGTCCCGTTCTATTCCGGACGTGAACACAAGTCATCTTTCCTTTGTTCTCCCATTTATTTTCCCACTTAGCACTTGCGTGACCGCGGGAGGACTCGCGTGCGTTCGCATCCAACGCAAATGAGCATCCATGCAAAACCTTGCATTCATGCATGTGAACATGCATGAATGCAAGGTTTTGCATGGATGTCACGCATGAAGCGGCCTTTAAACACGTTGAGGCCGTCTCACACTGCGTTTTCCATGTGCCATGTGTTTACACGCATGAGCAGATGCATTTACATGCACGCTCATTTGCGTTAGAACGGAACGCACGCGAGTCCACACGCGTCCACATGCATGCGCTAAGGATGAAACTCAATGTACGAGGGGCGGTACGAAAGTAATGCACGTTATTTTTTAAAATCTGACTCATGCATGAAAGAACGACAAAAAATGCACTAAAAAAGGTTCCAGTCTCCCGCTCTTTTCGTGCAAGTTTCATGAGATATCAATTGATAGCAGCACCAATACACGTTCCCAAGACGACTGTTGCAACGAAAGTGCGTGAAACGCAGAGGGCAGCGATTGAATTCCTCGCCATAGAGGGAGTTTCACTATCAGAAATCCATGACTGAAAAATGTCTATGGTACATCTGCCGCTGATGGAAGCATGGTAATAAGGTGGGCAAGCCACGTGAAGGCTGAGGAAAGAGATCTGTTTCGACAGGCCACGCAGCGGTCGCCCTGCCACGGCAGTGACACCAAAGATTTCGTGCGGAAAGGATGAGCTGATTCGTGGCGATCGACACAACATAACAATAGAGTCGTGCGAAATCGTCGGTCGGATCTTGCGCCATCAGATCATCACCTCTTCGTCCCGCTCAATGATGGACTTTGAGGACAGAAGTTGAAGGACGATGACGAGTAAAGGACGCGGTGCGCAAGGGGCTCTGCAGACGTGAAAATAAGTTTTACAGCGACGGCATGAACGCTATTTTAAATCGGTAGAGAAAGTACACAGAAAATTATGGAGACCGTGTGGAAAAATTGCTGAATGTACGGTAGGGTTTTGTCGTTTTCCCTGAAAATATTCAAGAATTTTCAATTAATATTTATGGAGAAAAAAACTGCTTTACTTTCGTACAGCCCCTCGTAAAACAAACGACGGAAAAGTGACAACGTGCTGTCGTTCAGAATTGAACGGAATGAGTCAACATGAGTCTTGCGTTTCCTCTTTACGTTCGAATGCATGCAGGCATGCGTGCACACGCGTGTTCCCTTGCATTCGAACGTATGCGGACGCGTGCAAACTTGCATGTCACACGCAAGAAACGCTAAGTGTGGAACGGCATCAAGCTACCATATGACTACCAGGAGTTCAGAAAAACCTTGAGCAGGTAACGTGTACGAGTCCGGGGATGTCAAAGGGGCGGCATCCGATTTGAGCCTATCACCACCATCCCTCCTAAAGGTAATTCACAAGTCTCGGCATAACCGCAACCAATGACGGCAATCATGTCATTCCAAATATCGGTAACACCTTCGAACAGTTCGTTGTTCCTACGGCGTTCCTTGGTCACTCTTTCACCGATAACATCTCGGACACTCTCGTTAGGATTCATATTTTCTCCCTGCTCCGACCAGGGTTGGACACCGATAAAAACCTCCTCCAGATTGGTTCTGGACCGCCTGGAATCGCGTGCTTGAGTGATATGCTTAAAAAGAGGCTTCAACGGCACTGGGATAGTGTCGTTGCATGATGGGAAAGACGTAGACCAGTAGAGAATATCGCCGTTTTCACATTCTCCTTGGACCAGACCAGGCCTTGTTTGCTGATCATTCCCGACGCCATAATACCACCGCCCTCTAAATTGGCAGTCCTATTCCAACTGTATTCGTGAAATCGTTCTAGTGTGCCTCCAAATCAGTTCACGCCAATAAGATACCGAACAAAACTGCGACTCATTGCACTTCCTGCGCCTCAAACCAGTCCACATGCCTCCCGCCCATTGCAGTCTTTACTTAATGTGAACCACGGTCAATTGGTGTTCCCTGGATGCTCTGCATCTCCTAAAGACTGGGTCCATCAGATAACAGCTAAATAATAACGTAAGCGCAGAGGCATATCGACTGGGATGAAGGGCAGGGAAGAAAAGTTCCCTCCGGCGACGAGTCGCGGTAGCAGGCTCAACAGCTCACAAGCACAATACAAAACACAGCATCATGGAACTTAACACCGCAACAAAAATGCAGTTGGACAAACTCGTCCAAAAAATTATAAACAAGGTCTTCCGAAACTAATTCGAACATCGGGAAGTATACCGTAACCAATGATATACAGTACGTATTGAGGTGTAGGCCATTATAGCGAAGGGTAACTCAATGTGTATGTTTAGAGGGTGTTAATATACGCGAGATTTAGCGCCAAAAACAGACAAACTAAAAACTTTGTGACTTTTTGAACTCCAAGTCTATATTCTAAGTTCAAATGCATATATTACATTTTAAAGACATGTTATTGATGTCAAAGCTCTGGGCCAAGAAAGCGTCATCACATAATTCAAACTTCAACAACAGAGTGATACTTGTGGACATCCAATAAGCAGAGGCGTATTTTATAAGGGGAGGGAGGATGGCTCCTTCAAGATAATATTTTTCTCCCCTAATATCGCTTGGGTGGGGCGTTGCACTCCTGCTCTGCTGCCTTGCTCCCCGACTCCTCAGTCAAAATACGTCACTGCCAGTAATATAATATTGACGGTTCCAATATTGACAATTAGTAATCCTATCAAGCAGATGGTATCATACATGGAAAATGCAAGAGCCCCATACACTACCATAGATACTGAAAGAACTTGATGATCGCACAAGCAAAAACTGCTTCTGAAATGAATCTTCTGTCTTGCAGGATGGATGAGGAGGATGGGAAGAAGTCAAAATGCAAGACCATGTACCAATGTCCATTTGGATTTGACAAGATTGCTCACCAGCTCTTTGGTCTCAATACCCCCTCTACCTAGCATAGTCTTCCATCATTCATTCTGATGGGCATTATGGATAGACAAGAAAGGCAATGAGGGCAGCTCGATGTTTATTGCATGTGAAATGAATGATGCAATGTCAAAAAAAAACAACAACCCAAAAACCCTTTCTGATAATGAGTTTCATTGTCAACAATGATCAGTGCAGAGCAAAGAACATGCTCTAAAAAAAAAAAGTTCACAGGGAATGTCTGAGCGAATTCCAATGGATGCACTGGTATAAACTAATGCAGTCATATCTTCCACTACCAGGACAGTCCAACAGGACTGAATGGATTGCACTTTGGAATTCTAATATGATCCACTTGTGCAACTGACAAGCACTTTCCTCAACAGTGAAACAGCCACCCCAAGTGTCAAATTATTGCAAGAAAATTGATTCTCTTGGATGAATCATGGTTTGAGACTCCTCCAAAACACCATCACCAAAAAATGAGGCAATATGCAAACATTTGATGTTCCCTGAATTTAGCAGTCTGAAGCAAAGTGGGTACATGGAAAGCAGCAGCAACCTATTGATTGCCATCATGACTCAGGTGCACTGCAGCATTCTAGTTGGGTGTGAACAGTCTTGGCATTCTGTACTATAGTATGTGCATCAGGATGGTGCAAGAGCAAGCACCATCTCAAAGAAATTCGCCATGAGTCACATTCAATCGCATGTTCACTTTTTACTGAATACATTTAGGCTACTTCAATTAACTTGATTTGTTGCAAGCTCTGGATAGTAGAGTTGTGACAAATGAAGCCAACTCCAAAGAGGAGTTCCACATCATCCACAGACTGAATATGAATAAATTTGAACACAAGTTTGATTAATGGTTCTACTGCAAGAGCTCAAGAATAGTTGGCACTAATGGTACTTCCAATAATTTTAAAGTGCTAATGATATCACTTATGGAGACACACACACACAAACCAATTGAAAGATGAAGGTATGGATAGTCTTTCAATCTGAAATACACTTCTGAATGGACTAGGGCTAAAAAGCCTTCAATTTGTGATCGACAGCAAGTCTCACAGAATAATATACTGTATAGCATGAGATTAAGTGCAGAAGGGAGACATACTTCTACTGCATATCACAAGAGAAACTCTGTTCTGCTTTCAAAAAAGTGCCAGATCATGCAGCTATCTACATCATAAGTAACTATGCCTAAAAAGGTATTTTGACTGGAAAACATTCTTTGCACCGACAATAGATTGCACCAATGGATTCAGATCACAAAAGATGCAGATGTGGACAACATTCCACAATTCAAGACAGTTGGCATAGTCTCTAGTCTCGATGATGCTCTATGTTTACCTACCTCAAGGGTGGAACCAAAACAAGAGAAGTGACTAATCAGAAGACATAAGGCAACACAAAATGAAGTCCTTCACAGAGATTCTTGGCTGAGCAAAGGGGAACAGATGGCATATGTGAGAATGCCAAGATCAGGACAAGAGGGAGGACTGAAGTGTGTCGGGGAGGACGACGGGAGGAGAATGCTTGTACCAAACTTGGTAGAACACCCACGGCTCCATGAAAGAGGGGACATAGGCCGAACATTTACTGAATTTCACTGGTGGATCAATAGCCCCCAACTGCTCTTCAAACATGGATAGGGCTTTGTGGGAACTCACTCCGTTAGCCTGGAGAATAAACAAGTAAAAGGAACAGGAATGATGAACATGAGATGAATAGTTCCTTATAATTATTAGGTCAGAAATTCAGTAATTTCACACTGAAAATACGCATATTGCAGAGGATTGGCTTCTAGTCAGTCTCATCTGTGGCACAAGAATGAGCAACCTACAGGAGTCCTCTTTCTCAATACATGCACTTGTCTCAGTAATCAGTTCTAAGGAAGGAGAAGCGTTTTTTTTTTTTTACTCTGTAGCCATCATCTAATATAGTTTTGTAAAGGAGTTTCTTGTTCCAAATAAGGACAGACTTGTTTCACTTTGGATCGCGCCACAGAGACCAGAGGCAAGATCTTAAAGTACCAAGATTATTACCGGTATCCGAGTGGTCACTTCTTGAGACTGAAACATTGTCTGCAGTGAGTCGGGAAAATGGGAATAAAAGCGCGGAAAGAGAAAACTGCTCCGACTCCGACCTCACAGGAATCTGAGATGATAGAAGATTTATTCGAAGAGCACTCATTCCCCAAGGGCCTTCCCACATTAATTTTTTGTTCCAATGAGTGCATTTGAAATTCAGCATTTTTGCGAAATTTTTGTATCGAAAGCACGGTATAATTACAAGGAGATAAGATCAAAGAGAAGGGAAAGAGTTGGATATCCATCTACTAGGCCGTAACTAGGGGAAGAGAGACGAATTCCGACCCTGTCATAAAGTCCCTCTCCTTCATCACATCATTCAGGATAACAAGATTGAAACAGGCAGATTGGGTAATTGTCTTTTTCAACCAAGTTAAACCATTGTCCAGTCTCAACGTGAATGGAAATTACGTGTATTTCCTTCTTGAATGGTATACGTCCCAAAACCATAACGTTCAAAACGTAGGCGGGTAATGCGCGGTGGCCCATCACCTAGTGATGGGCCACCGCGCATTAAGATCTCCATTTACAGTCACTAAGGACGGTTTGAAGACATTCTTATGTGAAGTACTGCAAAGTGGCAGAAATATGAAATAGCAAGTGGGATGTAGTGATTTCGGGAAGCAGTTGATTCTCAGTCTCCAATCATATCAGTGAAGGAAAGAATGATGTTACTGTTGAATCAGTAATGTCGGTGCAAGTCTGTCATAAACATCGAGCAGGCTGGTCCAATCGTGAAAAACTAAGAACATTGGAGCTCTTATATAGAATATATTCACTTGCAAACGAGTCGCCATATCGTGGCGGTCCAATTACCTCAGAGCAGAGTAATTAATTAATGGGAGATCCACCCTAATAGTCGAGCGGTCCAATTTAACATAATGCTACGCTTGAAAGGTTATTGAATTGGAACATCCATTTCGGTGTTACCATTGACGACTAAATGTCGTCGGGATGGCGAACATTCGAATCTACCTTTTCACGTCATCTTGTCACGCAAAAAGAGTATTGGAGTTTCTCTCAATAGTCGTGAGGTATAAAATTAAATTTAAGAAAAAGCAAGAGCAAGTGTTTCGCCATATTACTGATACGCAAAAAAAGGAACATTTGGAGCAAGAATATATGTGAAAAATACCGAAAAAGTCATCACTCAGACTGTATTCATAATGCAGAAGATCGGGAGAAAAGGTGTACTGCTCTCACTACGCCTCCTACTTATACTACGTTCATCATGGGGATCATCTCATTCTGCCCCATAAAATGCTTTCAGGTAAAATGCAATAGTGTAAGAGAAATTCTTACGTTGGCGATTCTGTTTGCTGTCGTTCCTTCATGGGAATTCCCTACTCCCCTAGCAAGACAATTGGCAAGACAATTATTGGAACACAACAGTGTCAACCTAATGATTCAGCTTTCCAATTTTGGGAGAATGTTAGCGTGACTGAAATACAACAAACCAACTTAATTCTGATTCCTGGAATGGAAGGGAAAGTACTTCTTCCGCGCTGTGATGTGCAAAGGGTGAACATTAAGGGGGTTTCACACCTTGTGTGCTATGCGTCCTTAGCGTCAATGCTTGAGCAGGTAGGCAGACGCAAGCGTGCATACGCGTGTCCATTTACTTCCAAGGGGTACGGAAGGAAAGGTAAGTAATCTGCACTTTCCTTCCTTACCCCCGTGTCTGGATGGATTCTCCCTGGACCCTGGATGGTTCCAGGGAGAATGCCCATTCTCTGCTCACCTCAGGCTGCGGGGAGGCTATTACCATGCAAGGAGTCCGCATCAGGAGTCAGAATCAAGTTGGCTTGGTATATTGCAGGTGATAGTGGCGTAAGAGGGGAACTCAAACCCCTCCCCCAAGGCCGTCGTTAGGAGGTAGGCAAGCGATTAAGCGACCGCCTAGGGCAGCGGTTCCCAAACTGTGGGTCACGAGAGGCATCAAGGTGGGTCGCATACATTTTTCCAGTATAAAAAATCACTATATCCGCATCCGCTCCGGATAATGCATGCCCTGCCTAAAAGGTCGATCAGTTTTCTTCACGTCATAATTACTTTGAAGATAGATTGTTCTGGATTCCGGTGGGCCGCGAAATTTTCTGTACGTCAGCAAATGGGTCGCGATTCAAAGAAGTCTGGGAACCGCTGGTCTAGGGTATAGGACCAGGCAGAGGGGGTATTACGCACCGCGCACTTTTACGGCACTGAAATTCTCGCCCCCCTCCCCCTTCCGAAAACTGCGTACGCCACTGATGGGTGGTATCACATTGCACTTGAAAAATAGCAATGACAATGAGCACACTTTCGAAATGCTTAAGCCAATAATCGAATCATTTACGCTTTCGCTCATCTCCAGTCCCGGGGATCCGGGGGTGTTTTTTTTTTAATAAAAAAAAGAGTTAAAACGAACAGTTAATAATTTAACACATTTCACCCATATATTCATTCATGACCCACTTGTCCTGAAGCAAGTGATCCACCAAGATCAAGTCAACCCAATTGTAACCATGGCAACCAATAAATGGTCAAATTACATATTGATATTGTCATGGAAAAAGTCGTGAAATTAGAGGTTGACTTATATAGGGGGTAACAAGAGCCCCTTCATGCAAATATGACTAAGAAAAAGGTAAGAAAATAATTAGGAACTGATAGGTCTAAGACTATGGTGTTCAATACGTTCGCCACTCGCCACATGTGACAAATTGATACTCTTCATCAGTTATATTTTTCCTTCTTCCAAAAGATTACGCATTCTTTTTTGTTATTATTAATGTAGCATATATTTTGTATCATGTGGCGAATATGGTAACCTGATCGCCACAAGTTTGACGAACTTCGAAATTCCATTGGACACCAATGGTCTAAGACTAAAAGGTAAAGAGAGTATCGAATTCCATGGTCGTATAAACGTAATGTGCGAAAAATAGCTCACATGGGAAAGATAGATTCCACTGGGCGCGAGAAGGGAAAGCGCTAGAGTCAAGATGCGACGAAAGAAGAGCCACAGTTCCGCCGTTGGGTCTGTCGAGATGGGGATATCTGTGAGGTCCCCGAAGACGAAGTCAAATCGACGACCCTCCTTCACGTATTCCTCCATTGTTGCCACTGCATCGCCCACAATGATCTGCAGGTACGTCACATAAATGCGGTAACAAAGGTGCTTTTTTTTCGAAGAATGGCAAAATCTTCAAAATTCTTCCTCATCCATGACCTGCTCTACTCCAAACGTGATTTATCTCGCATTAAGTTTGCAAGGCCGAGTATGTAGGTGAAACTGGTAGACTATTTCCTGACCGGGCCAAACGGTTGCAAAACTAAATTATAAGGAACCTACAGGAATTCTCCTTAACAATCCAGGACAACATTCGGATTCAACCATTCTCCAATTGAAAAAATAAAGATTAAACGGGCCATCTAAAGGAGAAAACGAGAAATGTTCTGGATAGAATTGTTTAAAACGTTTTGAGTTCCCTGCGATCCTCCCTCTCCCATCCCAGCACTACACTCCCCGGTCCCACAACCCCCTAGTTGGGCAGGCGAGGCTTAATATTGCTAACTATTTGCTATTGCTCACTAACATCTCTCCTTTGGCTGCTAGAACTGAATACTAATAACCATAAGTTATTAAAACTGTATGAGTCACCATGAGGTCTTAAGGAAGCCCTCCCACTGCTGGCTAGTACGGATCATCTTGGCCAAGAGACCAGGGTCACCGTTTTAGGATAACTGTTGCATACCTTATGCACTTATGCATATTTGGATGACTTCACCCAATATTTGGATTTGCAATATTCCATGCAAACAGTAATGAGATCTGCTACTTTAGCAAGCCTTCTGATCAGCCCATTCACGTCAGAAATATTTTTACTGCAGCATTATATTGAAATTCTGCTTGGATCTTCTGTCCCACTAATAGATGAAAAATAAATATCTACACTTTACACACCTAGGAAAAGCATCAGCAATGGGACACCTTGCAAAATCCATCCTACAGGTTCCTCAGAACATTAGCATTAGAGAGCTGTGTTCTATTTGGTCCTCTTCACTTCTTTTCCTTAATCTGAAGATGGTATAAGGTATTCTCTCAACTCTTGGGATTAAAAAAAAGGATAATAAATTAACATATCAAGATGCTTGCCAGGTAAAGCAAGGTCGACTGCAAAATGATTCATTAAAGACCAGGGAAGGGGATAACCAGGGACTTATGATGCAGTTTATTTTGATAATCTGTGTACTCCCTTTGGAAAACAATGCTTCAATTTACAATCCCCTTCTTTGTGGCTAAGGTGGCCTCAGGTTCACAGTAAGCAAATTTAATTGAGGCTCTTCCACATCTCCCCCTCCCCATCATCAGCAAAGGAGCCAGCAAAATCCACAGTAGAGGGAATCCCTTTATAAATTGTATTCTTCTGATCCTCCCAATGGAGAAAACTGTGAAAGATCACCATGCAATTTGAAAAGAAAAGTGAACAATATTACCTATATTGCAAAGGTTCCATTCTACCCCCCCCCCCCCCCCCCCTCCACCCACTGGGGGTATGCTATAAAAAGAATAAATTATAATAATGCAGGAAAAACAGATAGATACACAACCAAAAAGCTATATAACCTCTGCAACATTTTTTTTAAAGGGGATTGATGGTTTTTAATGACAGTAGGAGAAGCAGAAATGAAATAGAGTAGATACAGGGAGTGCTGCAGCCAATTGGCTATGAACTTTTTCTTGGCTGGATGTCATTAATATTCATGTATGAGTGTTCCAGAATTCATGCTTAACAAAATCCTAGAATGGTAAAAACAATGAGGGGAAGAATATGAACAGCATACCAGAAGAACTGCAGGATACTTGAGTTTTAATGGGACACACACCATAGGCACTGTTGTAGTGTGCAGGAGGAAATGCAATACTTACATATAACAGCTTATGTGGGACTGAACACTAAATTTCCTAGCCAACAAGTTGGATACCTTTTGATTGCTACATAGGACTCCCTCTCCCTCCCCCTCCCCTCTCCTTGAGTGGTTTTGTACAGACTTTAGTTTTCTCCTAGACACTGCATGTATCAGTGATTCTGGTGTGTGCTACTGAAACTCATGTACTCAACAGTTCTACCAAATTGTTTAAATTTGTTCTTTTACCTGCAATACCATCACACAACAAGCTCCCCAGCCATGAATACTGCAAGAACCTATACTTCCAAAAGTCTCATTTTTCCTTCTTCCAGGATGCATCAAATTTGCAAAAATGCCTTTCAAATCTAATGGGTTAATGCCTATTGTTCTTCCTATCCTATAATCTTTCTGTCTTCAAACATAAGAATTTTAAAATAAAAAGCATGAAATATCACTCTAGGTGTTCTGCTGGACAATCCATATGCATGGATTTCCAACCATTCTTTGCATCTTTAGGATCCTCATCTAGAGGAGTGGTGGTTCTTTGTCAATAAGAGCTCCTGAAATAAGATTTTCTGATGGCAAGATCATGCAAGGAAGGTAATGACCTCATGATGGAGTCCTTTGTGAGAGTCCATGGAGTCTCCACACACACTCCGCATGTGTTTGCTGCATGCCTGCATTACCACCTCATCAATCTATAATCAGGAGAAACAAATAGAATGAAGATTATTATTCACCTCCAGTTGCCATGATTAATAGTCATTTTCTTGCATTTTATTCTGACTTATGCAGAGCATCTTATGACAGCTGAAACTGCTTTTTAATAATAAAATTTTGATAATAAAAAATAGGGACTGCAGGCATAAATTTCCTTGAGCTTTTGAAATTTTTGAAAGTTTCATTCCTGTGGCTGCACAAGAACCTGATCATGTTTCAGACACAGGAATGTGAAACTTCTGCATGGAACTGAATAACCAGTTAGAAAGTGAAGGGGGTGACTTTCTGAACTTATTGAACTAGGCCCCAAATCGTTCTCACTATGAGGTGCAATCAAGTGTGTGCTGTTTTACTGTAACTCCTCAAGTATATCAAATTTCACAAAAAGCCCTTCTTTCACCTTTCAACATATTCTCCTTCTCCCTCAACACAGTTGCCATCATTTTAACCAGTCTTTATTTTAAAAAAACTCGGCAAGTCACCTTTGGGCCTATGTTTGAACCACAGGTAGACTGCAAAGTCCAGGGCTTGTCTTGAAGGATATTTCTTTCCTCATAATGAGGAATGAATCCTTGAGCGTACCAAACAGCAAGATGAAATTTCCACTGGCACTGGCTACCTTGTACCTCAGTGGTGCCCAAACCCGTGGCCTGTGGGCAAAAAGTGGCCCTTGAAGTGCTTACAAGTGGCCTGTGAGGCAGTAATCCACAATACCCTCAGGTTTCCTTTAAACATTTTCCTACAATACTAGTGGCTTAATATGGTCTGCCAAGGCTGTGGTAGTGAGCTATGTGACCCCCTAGCTGAAAAGGTCAGGCACCACTGTTGTACCTCATACCAACATCTGCTAGAAATAGCTTTTGCCAGCAGTAGACAAAATGCACCTAGAACTGGTCAGTGGAAATTTCATATTGCACCAGGCCAACACATCACCACACATTGCTTGCATAGCAACATAGTTCTTGGCTGGAAGGGTTATTAAATTCTTACCACATCCTCCCTATTTGCCAGATCTCACTGACTTCTCTCAGTGACTTCTGGCCATTTGGTAAGCTCAATGATTCGTTTTAAGGATAGAAATTTCCTTCAAGACAAGTCCTGGGCTCTGCAGTCTTTCAGTGGTTCAAACATACACACAAAGACAACTTGCCAAGTGCTATAAAGACTGGTTAAAATGGTTGCAACTGTGTCTTGAGGGAGGAGATGACTATGTTGAGAAGTAAGAGAAATGGTTTGGTAAAACTTGGCAAAACTTAGTACACTTTAGGAGTTACAGTATAATGGAAAATACAATATGACTGCACCTCATAGTTCAAAACATTGAAGCATATGGGTGGATAGTGCTTCAGTAGAAATATTAAAATGTTTGCATCCTTCAGTAGCTTCATGGTTGGCTCACATATTTCAATACTACAGGTATCTGGGCACTCATAAATCTATGTGGCAAGTGCATAGATGAAGAAAATATTTCATCTAAGATCTAGGCAACATTTTGTGCATTTATCTCAACCTATTTTATTATAGCACAAGAAAGTCCAGGTTTAATTTGAACCACCCTCATACATACCAATATACAAAATAGGAAGGTTTCACAACAAGTTTCCACTGCAGCCTTGGCAAACAGGAGGGGAGAAAAGTAAGAAAAGGAAGGAGTACCTCAACCATGGTGATATAATCAGGGTCCTCTTGGAGAAGTTGATGAAGCAGAGCCCCATCACCACCACCCAGAATAAGACAGGTCTTGCCCTTGTATGAGATGCGACCCTTCAACATCAGTGTATCAGTGTAGATCCCATCACTTTCCGCAAGGTTGATCAGATCATCCAGAATCAATGCATTTCCAAGGCTAGGGCTGTGCACGATCATCACTTTCTGGTATGGTGTTCTTTCTTCAAATAGCTTCACATCAAAGTCATACTGCAGAAGGCGCTCATCTAAAAATTACGAAATAAGGATGTCAAGTGAGCCAAATTGGAATCTAAAATTTTCTAGATATTTTAACCATTTCCTGTATGGTCTGTTTGTGCAAACCATGAAGAAAAAAAAGTAGTTTAACAGCCCCCATAAAAAAAACAACTTCCACTAGGTCACGATGCCAATATTCATTCATACCACCAAATAGAAATCACAGGTGATGTGTCATGCTCATTTATGGAGTCACATGATACAAAACGCAATGGGAAGAAGTATCCACAAATATGGAAAAAGGCCAACATATGGTTATTCTTCATCAGTTCAGATATGAAACGCTTGGTATTGCCTCAAGCTAGTTCTTTGCAGAGTTCCTGAAGCAGGAATTTTTATTAACAATAGTAATACATTCAGTATTGAACTATAACAGAACTTAGAAGTTTTCTTCCCTTACTGACCCTGCTATTGCTGCAGTATCTGCTAAGAATGATGCTTAGGCCAAAGTTCCCAAACAGTAACTCTAAATAAAAAAAGAAGGCATTTCAGAAAAGTATTACAACGGCTCAAGTAAATATGCTCCCTAACCCCAACCAAATATTTTTCTCTAAATGTAATGCCTCTGAGATGGGTTCATCCATGCTAGGGATGCACCGATATCCACAAGGCATATCCAATTATCCCGCATATGCCCCGCATCTTCACCACCGAACGAGGTAGGCCATCCCTCTTCCTATTCCTCCAGACTAATGGTCCAACGGTTAATCGGATTACCGAGGATCTACGAGTTGGTATGGAGTAGGAATTTCGATTCTTGGTAAATTCATTAAGCAGTAACTAACCAGAAACTATCCAGCTACCCTAATTCCAGTGAAATTCCCATTCAGGTGGAAAATTCTCTCCAAGCGGAGGCTTCCAAGAAGGAAGCGAAGTTATCCCCTCACTCGCTTGTATGCTTCCCAACTACAAAGGGCATGCAGGGAAGGATAATGGCAGGCTCTCCCATTCCAGACAAGCCTTTGAGAGCCCATAATACATTTTTAAATATCGAGAATGAGACCGGAAGTAACCCGTTCTTAAGTTAAAGAGAAAAGGGAATCGACGGCACCAGATGAAGGAAAAAAAATGAGGGGGGGGGGAAGGGCAGCGTGATTTAAGACATACTTCTCTAACGATTCCTTCTGTACTGGACAGGACGAGGGAAAACCTTATGGCATCGGGAATGACACTCAGGAGCGTATACCGAGATTGAATGGGAGAGGACAAAAGAACATAAAAAAGGGACAAAATTATCCGGGAGCAGGACCAGAATTAAAAAATTAAAATAAAATTAGCACCCGTAGTGAGATTTTTCGGTTTTCCCTCTCTACACAGAAGATGCAAAGAAAAAACGCACATAAGAGATCGCTGGTAAAACCAACGAGATAACTAAAAAGAGCCGCGCATGCTCATCTCTTTTTTTTCGCTTCTGCTTTAGTCGAAAGAACTTTCCCACGTCGTGGAGAGAACTGCATTTTTTCATGTCGGAGACGTGGGAGGGAGAAGCATCGTGGCTGTTAATCGAAACCAACTTTTAGTAACCGGTTTGAAAAGATCAGTGGTTTAACTGTTGAGATCTCTACCCTGAGAGTGGAGGGATATGGAATGGTGGCCATCTTCAGGAGGTGATGAGGCGGGGAGCGCAGGTGGGATCGGTGGATCGGCCATGTCGGTATTGGTGCATTCTTAGGGCCGATTGTATGAACGATGTTTATTTTAGACATTGATTATCGATAGTCATTGTTTAAACATTGTCTACGAAAACATCGTTTAACTGCTGTCTACTTTCGATTGCGTGAACGATCCCTACGCCATGTTTTCATAGCCGATGGTTAGACGATGGCTAAACACCCCTCATGGTACATATAGCACGTTAATAGCACGTTCTGACTCCTCGGTTGTCGCGTAATACACTACGGACTCCACAAAAAACGAGCGAATCAAGTGAAAAAGGAGAACCTTTCTTCAGACTATTAAGTACATCTCGCAGAGCCTGTAAAGGAGAATCTAACGATAGAGAGAGACAGAATGCACTTTCCTTGCACAACAAGTAAGCATGCCTGAAAACTGGTGAGTTCTCCTCTGACCTTACTCTGTACTTCGATATATCAGCAGTAAAGCCAAGGACTCGTTTTGGACACACGGAGAAGTAGGAATTTGAAAAATAGGAGTATCATTTGTTTATGATTACAAAATGAGGATATTCTAAAATTGCGTGTGGATCCTGGTCACGCGATGACAAATTCAGTAATAATCCCTTCCGCATCACGCACAGCTTGGACATCGATGAAATGGAAGCATTTGCGATTGATTTGTCTGGGCATTCTATTCGAGTACGACAGTCGTCGATGACCTGGGAATCCGACAATATCAACTAATTATCTTCGTACAACTACTCCGTTTTTTCTCCTAGGAATGTAATGAGCGATGCAAATGGTAATGGCTTGCGCCATTCCATTTCTAGGAATCGACGCCACATAAAATCGAAGGGTCAGCACAACATGCAAATCGAAAGGCTTTTATGATGCTCACTTTACTTTCGAGTCATATTAATTAATTACTCAGAAACATGCCCCATCCCTTGTCTGGAAACGACACCTTTTTCAGCTTCTTTTTCAGCTTCTGTTAGACATCGGTTAGACAATGGTTAAAGGAAGATAGCGTTCATGCAATCCATTTTTGGCCTTAGACATCGGTTAACAGATGACTTTCGAAAAACACCGGGAAAACATCGTTCATGCAATCGGCCCTTAATATTTAACCAGTGATCATTTTGTGAAAATGATCATTGGTTGGTATTCGTGATATGATATCAACTAATAACGGAAATAATATATTTGCTTTAAAAAATTTACATCTTTACTCTTCAACTCATTAGCCCTTTCGGTGACCTTAACTCAGGAGTTCTTAACCTGGGGTCCATGGGGTAGGTCCAGGGGGTCCGTGGAGGGTCCATGAAAAATTAAATGTGTATTGAAGGTAGCTCCCGAAAAACATAATTTATCATCACAAATCCAAGTATTCAAAAGTTTCTGATACCCGGGGGTGGGGGTCCATCGGTAATACTTGAGGATCTGGGGGGTCCATAGGTGCAAAGAGGTTAAGAACCCCTGCCTAACTGTATTCTCTCTCATTCCCGCTTTCGTTCCCAGTGTCAAATTTCTGATTCTGGAATCCCCGAAATCATGAATTGAACAAAGTCGCTATCACTTCCATTTGGAATATCTGAAAACTGCGGCTTTCTCCAAAACCCGAACTGAAATCGCGATAGAAGACGCTGCGAAAATCAGTTCGCCTAAAACATAAGTCAACTTCTAACTTTTCGCGCCAATCAGATCTCTCCCATATACTGCTTCCACTCCATGGTTCTATAATATGTCCATGGATGGCAGTACCACTCAAAACAAACGCAACAAGCTTCTATCCCAGGGTGGGCAAACTGCAGCCCTCGGGCCGGACAGGCGACAGCATTTCGAACGGCCCGCCAGCTGCTGCTGGAAAACTCATTTTAAACAAACTGCAGACAGCTGCACGTCCCACTGAGATGTTAGTATGTCTTTATACTAACAAGTATAAAGACCTATTACCTTACACCTATTTCTGGCTTCTGTGGCCCACGAAGGCTTATGTTATCTCGTGAGGCCCGTAGGATAAAAGTTTACCCACCCCTGGTCTATCCTGTACTGGATTCGGCCGAACCCCTGTAATAACGCCAGTGGCATATTTTGACTGAAGGGTCAAGGGGGGAGGGGGGAACAGGGCAACAGAGCGAGAGCGCCAAACTCCACCGGAGCGATACCAGGGGAAAAAATTGTTACCTCCAAGGGGGCGCCAGGGCTGGCCCCCATCCTGCCTCCCGTAAAATACGCCACTGAATAGCGCTATTTCCTAGTGCAAACAAGTTGACCAAAAGCAAGCCAAAATAGTACGAGCGGCCTCCCCGAGGTCAGCTCGGGCAGGTTACTAAAATGATTAATTCAAGAAAGCACTATCCTGCAAATTCATCACAATACCAAAGAAATCAGTATTGATACTGGCAATGAGAACACACTGTTAGAGGCAATTCTGGTTGTAATAAATTACAATAGTAAAATATAGCAACACCAGTGCAACTTACAGATGCATCCACATCAGAAGCTTCGCTGGCAGAGGTGGGGCAACCAAGTCTGCTGAGCAGAAGAGTTCGCTGGGAAAGTCTCCTAATTTCTCCTGGTTAAGTTACAGTTTGGAAATGTTCACAAAGCTACTTTCTTACCTCTCCTGTTCATTGAACATGATTTTATTACCACATGCCAGTTATGGACTGAAAATGCTTCCCATGGAAACTGGTGTAATTATGTGCAATTAAGTAAGACAAAACACAGCCTCCTTTCCTAGGAAAATAAGCATGAAATCAGGTGTTGGACCATATTTATATGCACACATGTTTTATCCTTTTCTTTCCATAGACAGAAGTATTGGTACCACCAGATTGGAAAACTACCAATGGGTCAAATCAACACCTGAAACTGACATTTATAAACTCACCCGATGTGGTTAGGTAGGGGTCAACAGCAAGTCCTCTTTGCACAGGTGGTAGGAGACGTGACCGAGATGCTTTCAACTTCTCCTCAACTTCATCCCTCAGCCTTTGCAGCTCCTGCATAATATAAAAAAGCGCTTACATTCATATGACTTAATTAGTGCACCTAGGCTCTATTGTTCAAGCATTATAAAGTTACAACAACAAAGAAAATGACTAAATTTATGTGTACAAAGGAGACAAAATGAGGAAACAATACCTGGAATTGATAAGAGTTTGTGCATAAGATTTCAACTCTTACTATTTATTGATATTCAATTTGATACTACAGTTATTGCCCTGCTCTTACTTAAAACAAGCTGAGAAACAAACCATCAGACAGAAGATTGAGACAAGATGCAAAGGGAGGTAACCAACGCAAATACAAATATCACCAATGATAGCTCGTCAGGGTCAAGCTATGGCATAAGCAGTAGGTACAAAATTATAGTAAACCCAAGAAAGCAAAGTAGTGCAAGGGATATTTTTGGGAGATTCATCATACCAGAAGGCATGCACAAAAGTCTGTCAGATTCTATCAGATGCACAAAAACAACCAATGGGCTACAGGGAAGTTCACGCCTAACTGGGCCTACTAGATGATCAAGAAGTTTAATCCCTACCTCTAGGAATGGGAAGGGACTTCCTGATGTATAGACATACTGGAAAGAATAGCCAAAATTCCATGACATGTGTTAGTAGGATCAGTGAAAGAGAGAGATCTGTACACACTTTCAAAAGCTGTTTTTTTGGGGGGGGCAAGGATATGCAAAAGCAAATTTTTAACATCCAAATCTCTCTACAACAGTTCCAACATACAAATAGGCCTGAGAAAACTTAAGATATATGCATAAAAACACTGGCAACATTTCAAACACCCCTACAGTGCCATATTATAAAATCCATTGTAGCAAATGGGAGACTCATATGGAAGTCAGGCACAAACCTTGGTGGAGAAAAGTGGTGAGAGGCCATTGCACACAAAATATTCAAGTGTGAGGGTCACCACTCCTTCTGGATGGATCCGTACTGTCCCTGTTACACCCTGGAACACCCAATGGATGAAAGAAAGGAACAAAATCAATGTCAATGACAAATGGCACATCAAACTCAGAAAGAGTGAGAAGAAATGGAATGACATAGTTAAGCCAAGCTGAAAAATTTGCTTAGCAAACCTTTGGGCCAGCAAAAACAAAGAAGAGACCAGCAGCTCCGAACTTCTCCACATGGACAGGTTTCACTCCATACTTTTCTAAGCACCATTGGATCTGCTTGAGAATCTCCAGTTGGCCTTCAACTAAAAGAAATAGGCACTCCAATCATTTCTTGTGTCATATCAGAATCTGCACATAGTGGGAATAGTTATTTCCCATGATCATTTCTCAAGAAAATTAACTTCTATTGTACCATGGCTTTCACATGTATATTTCAAACCTATCCTGTTCAATCAGTCAAAAAATTTTACAAATCACTTTTCATTCCTCTATGTAATGAGCAATAACATACATTGTGCAACAAATTTAACTGCATTATTATGCAATTCCTATCAACCTCCTAATCATGTCATTCAATATGAATTACTAGGAAACTTCTGCCTCAAATCCAGCCACAATAAGAATAGAAGTTTATTGAATCCCTATATGGTTTAATGATATTCCACTACCTTCATACATTTTACCTTTGTCATACAAGAAAGATGTCATTGTGAAATGGGCATCTGCCTCATAACTGGATAAAACAATGACTGTGGAAGCACACATGCTTAACTTTAAAATCAGTTACCATCATTTTGGGGGAAAATAAATAAAAGCATCATATATGTGGCAGGTAATGTATACAGCTTTCAGTTTCACTTTTTCAGATTATCTAAATGGCACAGCTGAAAAGCTTAAGGACATCTAGATCAAATCATACAGACAGGGGAGCACCTGACAACTCGGACTTGGACCCATGCAATTCAAGTTAGTTTATGAATGGATGGGCCCCTTTTCATGGAAATCCCTCAGCACTGAGAATATGTCTGTCAGATATCCAATTTTGGATATGTTAGGTTTCTCATGTTATCTGTCAGAAAGAACCAAGCAATCTACCAAAATTTTACCATTATCCTCTCATAGCCTGACCCTCAGAATGCTTGCTAATTGTATGCAAAGTCAGGCCAAACATTAGGCCCTAGGCTTAGTATTATAATAGCTGAGCTAAAGGTGCATTATAGGATAGGATAGGCCTATTCTGCTGTTAGTTAACTGTGCACAGTGCAGTATGTAGTTCAGGTGACTGCCAGCAGGCTGAAACTTGGAGTTACCCATGTGACTCCTGCATTGTGGACAACTGGAGTTTCAAAATCTTCTGCTTTCATCCCTTTCTCCCAGTCAGTTAGCAATGAATGATGGGAAATCGAGATTCTCCTGATTTCACTTAGATAGGGAGCAGTAAGATGGTGAAAGAGCAAGCCTAGGCTGTCCCTTAATCCTGAGGCCTTTCACTTGCACAGCAGAGGCATGCATAGGTTAACAATTTAGGGATCCTTCACAATCAGACATAATAGCATCCAGTGCCAGTGCAAGTACACTGTTTTCAGATTGAATTGGTACTGTGGAGAACGGAGAAAACACAAGCTTTCCAGACGATCCTCTAGATGTCAAGCCTGATGCTCCACATGGTTGTTGGATGGTTCTATTAATACTTCACCTTCCATCCACAAGGTGACCTGCCTATACTTGATGGAAGTGCTCCTAAGACGATCCTCTAGATGTCAAGCCTGATGCTCCACATGGTTGTTGGATGGTTCTATTAATACTTCACCTTCCATCCACAAGGTGTCCTGCCTGTACTTGATGGAAGCACTCCTAGGGGGGGGGGGGGTACCAATTCAATCTGAAAACAGTGTACCCCTGCCCTAAGAGCAGGTTTTCCCAACCTAGAGGTTGGGACACCATTTGTGGTTGCCAAGATCATCTTTGGAGTCACAATGACAGCATGATAGAGTGTATATGTGTGTGTATGCATGTGTAAATATTTTACCTATTTGATGCCTCAAATGAGATGAAATAAAGGACCTACTATTATATTTGGGGTCACAAGCCAGCAACTAAATGCCAAGTCATGTTTTTCTTTTCAGTTTTAGCGTATGGGTGGGAGAGCTTGTCAACTTCGTCCAATGCTTGGGGTCCTGAATGGCATGATTGTGATTTTGGGGTCAAACATGAAAAAAGTTGGGAAGCCCTGCCTAAGAACAAGAAATAAAGCATAAATAAAATAGGAACAAAAGAAAGAAAAACAGTTTGAAAAATGACGAGTTACTCCAAAAGAGATCCATGCTCTGAATGTGATGGAGAATATACTCAGATCCAGGCCCAACCAGAGGTTACTAGAAGCCTGGGTCAAAACTAAACTGGAGGCCCCTTGGAGGCTGCTGTATGGATGGTGTTAGCTGGATGGGCCCTTTTGGGACCTTGGCATTTTGACACGAGGCCCAGGGTAGATTGTTTCCAATGTCCCCCCCCCCCCCCACCTTCTGGGCATGCTTGCCCAGAAACTTCCTATTTCTTCCTATTCTGAACAGGCAAGAAGGCCAAGCTGGTCAAAATTTGTCACAGCCCCAATGACATGCACAGTTTTTGCCTTTTTTTAAATATTCCTCTATCCTTCCTGCATGAAATCTTCCCATTTGAAGGCACTTGAGGAGCTGAGAAAGACATCAACAGAGAAGGCTCTGCCTGGTTTCCATCCCTTTCCCTAGCTTGTCTCCTTTGATCATGTTGTGAAACCTTGTACCTTGTATATTCATCTCCAAATCATCAATGATATCAAAGTTTAGACACCTTTATGGCAAGATTAACCTCAGTGGCTCTACAACCTTGATGAACTTCACAGACTGGCTACACTCCTACCAGAGCCACTTGATGCTATTGGAACTCTACAATTCATTCACAAGAGTAGTTGGGCTACAGTGTATCCTAAGGCATACATCGCTCTCAAAAGGCTACTCACAGTGACAGTTACATCTGCAGAGAAAGAAGCTTCTCCAAACTGGAATTAATTAGAGCTTACATAAGTTGAAACTAGTCACAAGAACACTTGACAGGACTAGCCACACTTGTGAGAGTGGTTAGCAGGTCATTGAATGACAAGAAAATGATGAGCTGATGGCAAGGGCTCTCAGAATATGAACGTGAAACCTTTGCACAACCTGCATGAATTCCTCTCATTTCCTTGCCAAATGAAATTGAACCAATTTTCATATTTATTTTCCAAATGTAATTTCAACAATAAAAAATAATGTGAGTGGCAAATCTCCCAAACCCAGGGGGACCCAATGCCAGGCCTGACTGCATCAACCAGTCACTTGCTCAATTCATCCACCCTAACTTAAATTACAAAGTTGCTTCAGGACTATCACCTTAATTCAAATTTTAAAAAAGTATGGTCAAAAAGTATGGTAATGTCCCACATCACTGATGTGGGACATGGTTAAAAAGTATGGTAATGTCCCACATCAGTGATGTGGGATATAAAGTAGCCTATATGGCCTATATCAAAACAAGAGATAAGATATCCTTCAGATTGAGAGGCACTATGAGGCAGTTTTAAGCATACTTTCTAATTATTATTCTTACTGGATATGTTATGAAAGAAATGCATAAAACTCTATGATTGAAGTGCAGCTTAGGCCAATGATATTTGGCACGAACCTGATCGACATCTCTCGCTAGGTAAGATGAAATCCAGAAGAATGGAATTGGCAGCCATGGCAATGACAGCAGTTCAAAATCTGAGTCAACAGCGAAGAAATGATGAGACAAAAAGAGAAATCACAGAAACTGACGACCGGTGATGGACTAAGAGGGCGCCATACGCAAGTAAGGATGCCAAATCTTGTGTAACTGCCTTGGCTTCTTCGTGGGCTCATGCTGATCAAGTAGGTATTAACGAATTTATTCCCAGACCCAAGTGGATAGGATTTTTGAAATACAATCCATGTGTGTGTGTGTGTGAATTGTGCATTTAAAAAAATTTGAAAGAAAGCTAAATACCACGTATTCGGATACTGATACTCTTACACACAGCATTGTCATAATTACACACCATCTTTCTAAAATAGGGTCATTCAATGTAATCTCAGCCAATTTGGCTAATCAATCAGTACAGATTTTCTCCATAGTACATACATAAGCAGCCTCATAATGGGAGGACAGGCGCGACTAGAAGTTTCATCGCAGTCTGTTAACACCATAATTATCGAAGGCACGTATATACCAGTGTTTCCCAAACGGTGTGCCGCCATTAAGGCTTAGGTGTGCCGTGAGATTTGAGAGTTGAAAAAAAAACTTAAACTTAAAAAACTTAAAGACTTAAAAAACAGGAGGGAACGCCATCTCTCAGTGGAAAACGAGCTGAGAGTTGCACTATCACGCCTCATATCCAGCGCCGTACCGAGGATACTTGGCGCCCTGTGCGAAATATCAGTCCAGCGCCCCCCCCCCCCCCCGCCTCTGTACCTCTCAAGCTTCCACAGCACCAACAATACATTACGTATTAGTTTCCATGTTTAATTTAGTTAAATTCAGGATAATTTGCAATTTTTTTAAGTTTTATTTATATTTTGTAGTAATCCGGCAGCCAATCGGTGCCCTGTGCGGGGGCACCGCTCGCACACCCCTTGTTACGGCACTGCTCGTATCAAACGTATCGTGTTAGGCGAAGCAAGCTCAAGTTTCCCATTAAAAGTAAGTAAATAGCTGGGTGTGCTGTGGAAAATTCAAGTGTTCTGTGCGTCGCAAATAAAAAAGATTGGGAACCACAGGTATATACCAAGAACTACCAGAGCGGTCATTTTGACTGCTATATTAAAAATCATATAAATGCATTATACTGTAGCATTCTATTTCTTTTTCAAGTTGTTCATGCACAATAGAACTAAATTTGAAGAAGAAAAATGGCCTCTTCAAAATTTTCATTACGGGGAATGCTGAAAAGGGCAATCGGCAATGCTCTTCGTAGAGTCTAGGTGCTTATGGAATCAACACAGACATAATACTTATGTGCATGTGCAATGCACTTGCCACACACTGCCTTCTTGCACACGGCACAGCTGTCATGCTTCTTGTTCCCCTCGTCAGGATCATAGTAATTTTAATAATTAATTAGGCCAAACCTCATTTTCGTTTCTAGAATCAGCTTAAGATAAGCCTTGTAATAGCTGCAAGCACTGCAGTGCAGTTAAACGTTGTTTTCTTGGTCTATTCATTTTCGCTGTACAAAATTTTCACAGCAGATACATTTACAGATACAACAGATAAGTCACAGAAAAAATAAATCTCAACTTGTCTGAAAAAGTATCCTACTGTGGCACATACAAGACGTGTGCATTGCTTTGAGGTTCAGCTTCGAACAAAGGCACGTTCTCACAGTAAATCGGTCACGTGATCACAGCAGGTCGAACGCGTGAAAATGGTAGGTCGGACGCATACTCACAGTAGTTCAGGCAGTTGTTCACTAAGCCAAATCCTCGTACATCAATTTCTCTATTGCGATCAAAGACACCGCTCCGGTATTTCTAGGTATAACGTATTAATAATATATCTCCGTTGCTTTTGCCACCCTGGGTCTACTGCTGCGTGAGGATGTTTTTTTTTACAATTTTTTTTTACAATTGGTTAAAACTTCAAAACTTTTAAACTGGAGTCAGTATATATCGCATGTCTGAGCAGGCGAAATTTTGTGTTCTACAGATCAAAGTGATTGAAGTCGAAAGTCGCAGCAAGCGGACAAAAAGTCAGTGAAAGGGTTAAGGGAAAGGGTTAAGGGAAAATGTCAATTCTGACGTGGAATTTCAGCTTTCTAAGTTAAGGGCATACTAAATTCGACTAGAAAAAATATAATTGGGGGGGGGGGGGGCTGGATTTCCCTGTGTTGAAGGTGGATACACAAATTCAACTTTTTTTTAGTTTGATAACTACTCTCCAGGCTTCCATGTCTATACCAGGTAGCATAGACAAGCGTCCGTAGGAAACGGGCTTTGTCTGAATCTTCAGCTTGAAGCAGAAGAACAATGCCTGAATGCCTTGGAACCTGGAAGTCACCGTTGTTCTTACCTCACTCTACTCAACTCCCATTCGTTAGTCCTTCGCAGTTCGAGAATCAACCACCGGACAGTTTCTCCGACATCAATGGCCCGCTGCTGAGAGCCCAGTCTTCTCTGTTAACGGTCTTTGAGCAGCTGTGCCGGATTTCACTCATTTCATGGAGTTGATGCCATCAGGTCACTGGCTCCATAGACGCAACGACCCAACGAGAGGGCAGGAGAAGTCAGTCCAGCCAGCCACAGACGATCGGCAAAATGTGGATCCAACGTTCCCGCATGCATGGGTCGGTCGCAGCGGTCCTCTCGAGTGCCCTGCCCGCTCACCGGACCTCAGCTGATATATTACAGTGTGTCGGGCTTCGGTTTAGACCAAGTGTGTCAAGCGAGACTGCTTGATATCGGTGACCTGAAACACTTGATGACGAACGCTATCCATGCCAGTATCCCAGGTATACTGTC